TTCTGATGGTAGCAAAGAGGTAACTTAAGTCAGAGAGGTATGTTGCTTTTTATTGCTGGCAAAGAAAAAATGGACACATTGAAACAAATATTTTTGTTCTTTTAGCGCGGGGGTCGGCAACCTCTGGCATGCGGCTCACCAGGGCCGGGTCGGTTTGTTTACTTGCCGAGTCTGCAGGTTCGGCCGATCGCGGCTCCCACTGGCTGCGGTTCGCCAGCCCAGGCCAATGGGGGCTGCAGGAAGTGGCGCAGGCTGAGGAATGTGTTGGCCGCCACCCCCATTGGCCTGGAGCGGCGAACCGCGGCCAGTGGGAGCCGCAATCGGCCGAACCTGCAGACGCGGCAGGTAAACAAACCGGCCTGGCCCGCCAGGGTGCAGCAAGCCATGTGCCAGAGGTTGCCAACCCCTGTGTTAGCATGTTAAGGATGATAATGTTGCACTGGCAACCTTAATTATGGTATTTCCTAACTTTTGAGTGCTTGACTTTTCAACCTTACTGTTTTTCATGTAGCATTTTTGTATGTAATCTGTTTTATATAATAACGGTATATGTGCTCTTCCACCCTCTCCAGCCCCAAGTTTCCCCTTGTTAATTCATTTCTTTTGAAAGATTCTAATCGCACTTTCCTGGTTTTCATTATACATTTAAATTCTAAACTAAGTGACACATTTAAAAAGTCATTTAAGTGAAAACAGAATATTTAAAATAATGAAATGGTTTGTTTGTCTGTAATAAATGGCTTTCTCTTAACACTGTTCTTTAGTTCTTTTGTCTTATGTTTGTTTTACATGCTTAGCACGGCCAGTTTAGGGAGTCTAGGAGTCTGTTTGATGAAATATTCCTCAGTCCACCAGAGGTATGGTACAGTTCTATCTAGTTTAGAAATTGCTGTGAATTTTCCTGCTGGTAAACAATGATGGGTTCCCTTACCCACTTCAGAATTATCTTATCACCATTGAAATCTCAGAATTGTTGCATATGCTAAATATGTGCCATTTTAGAATCTGTATTTGAATTATGCTAATATTTATATCAACCCTTTTTTCAGGGGATTATAAATACAGTTAAAAAATTTATTCTGAAAACCATTTGCGTTATATAGAACTGCACCAGCTAACTGTCAAACGGGTTCCTTAAGACTCTCCTCTATTAATTGACTAGCCAATTTTTCTTAGGGTAGACCCTACATGCCAAGTTTCAGTTACAAGAAAGTTATAAACCCCTGAAAAACGTTCATAATGGAGCTGATGATAGAACCTTATTCATAGTGGCAGTAACAGGTGCCACTAAAATGGAAGATACTGGAAAGTTAGTGCCTTTCTGTTTACAGGATATGCTATTGTATTTGTGATACTTACCAGATTGCAACATTTAAGGCGGTAAAACGCATTAACAACCTTTTAGTTCTGGTCTTCAAAAACAAATCAGTTGTATAGACACAAGTATATCATAAGATCTGTAACAGTTACAAAAAATATGTATGAATTTTTCGGGCTTAGAGTGACCAGGTGTCCCGGTTTTATAGGGACAGTCCTGATTTTTGGGTCTTTTTCTTATATAGGCTCTTATCACCTCCCCACTCCCTGTCCTGATTTTTCACACTTGCTGTCTGGTCATCCTATTTGGGCTGCATAATCCACTATATGAACTATATAATAAAAGGGGTTAAGTGAATTCAAGTTTTTTTGTTTAGCTCTCTAAAGGCATCAAGGGCTTACAGTTGGGAAGCAGAGACAGGTCTTTAATTTTTATAGAATGCTATTGAATCAACATAACTGTAACAGCGTTTAAAAGAGAACTGGATAAATTCATGGAGGTTACGTCCATTAATGGCTATTAGCCAGGATGGGTAAGGAATGGTGTCCCTGGCCTCTGTTTGTCAGAGGGTGGAGCTGGATGGCAGGAGAGAGATCACTTGATCATTACCTGTTAGGTTCACTCCCTCTGGGGCACCTGGCATTGGCCACTGTCGGTTGACAGGATATTGGGCTAGATGGACCTTTGGTCTGACCCAGTACGGCTGTTCTTATGTAACATTATGTGTTTGTAGCAGTTTCCACCTATTTAAAAAAAAATCTTTATAACAAGATATTAAGCAATAATGGGGATTCAGTTCTGGTCACCACATGTCCAAAAAATTAAAAAATTCAGAGACCCCCATTAAAAACACCAGTAGGAGGCTGGGGGTATTTACTTTTCAAGAAAGACTGAAACATCTAAAACAAAACTATACAAAACAAGATTTTCTGTACAGTAACTCCTCACTTAGTCGTCCAGGTTAATGTTGTTTCGTTGTTACGTTGCTTATCAGTTGGGGAGCATACTTATTTAAAGTTGCTCAATGCTCCCTTATAACGTTGTTTGGCAGCCGCCTGCTTTGTCCACTGCTTGCAGAAAGAGCAGTGTTGGAGCTAGCTGGTGGGGGCTTGGAATCAGGGTGGACCGACAGCCCCCCATCAGCTCCCTGCTCCCCTAAGTTCCCTGTGCAGCAGCCGCCCAGCAGGCTATCAATTTCCGGCAGTTCAGCTGTCCCTCCCCCCCCCCCCACTGCCATGTGCTGCTGCTGCCCTCTGCCTTGGAGGCTCCTGGGAGCCTCCTGCTTGCTGTGCGGGGGAGAGGGGGAAGAGCGGGGCTAATGTCAGTGTGTCCCCTTCCCCTCCCTGCTCCTGCCCCTCGCTTACCCCATTTTCATAGAGCGGGGAGGGAGGAGACACGACAGGGCTCAGGACGGAGGGAGCGTGCTGGCAGCGGGGGCTGTCTCAACTTGCTGATCTACTTAAAAAGGCAATGTACTTAGAGTGGAGTCGGCGTACTTAAAGGGGCAATGCGCATCTCTCTCACACGTACACGTATTTTTGGTCATACCTGCTGAAATATTACTTCATTTGTAAAATTATAAGTTTTATATTTTGCTGTGGCTAAAAACAGTAAATAAGCAAATAAATAATCTTGCTAGTTTGGTATTATATGTCTGTTTTCCCCTTAATGTAGATGAACTAAAATAATATTAATATAAAATTAGGGCTGATGGGTGGGGGGGGGAGACTCTTTAAGAAGCTAAAAGAATTTATTTTTTCTCTCCTGACCATTATGCTGTTTGCAGCAAGAGGAAGCCTGTCTTGCCACTTTTAAACAACGGCATCATTATTTTTTAGCTTTTCATCACCTTATGCACTTAGTCTTAAGTACACATCTTAAATACACATTTTCAAACCTTCTGTTAAAATTCCTCTAAACAGATAATACAGATTTCACATGTATGGATAAGAATTTTATTGTGTGAAAGTTGCTGTTTCTAGTTTAGTGTTTAAAATTGGACCTGGAATAAGATCAAATAACAGTGAAAGGGTCAGTGTTTGGGTGTCCAAAGTTACATGAAGTGGCTTTAAAATATTTATATTTTTGGTACTTTAAAGAGGACTGTTGTACACTATTTTTTGGTCAGTTACAACTTTGCATTTTTGCCATGTAAATTCATAATTATCAAATTAAATGAATATATTTTTTTCTCTAACTGTATCATGACACCTAAAATTCTGTGTGTAGGCAAGACAAATGCCAAACTACGTATACATCTTACCTCTTATCAAAATCGAAGATTGAGATGACATTTAAATCATTAAAACAAAGCAAGGATTAGGTATTTCAGTGTTTTAACATCACTGAGGACACCTTGTAGGTGTCTCCTCATATGTGACTTGACTTCTTAAAGAAGGTAGAAAATAAACTGTGATGCTTATCCTGACCACTGGTTTACAGTTGTGCTAGAGGTCTGCTAGGGCCATATTTTGAAGCCCAACCTGGATTTCCCACCCACCTGGAATCTGTCTGCACTACCATCTCTTCTTTTGGGCTCTGCCTGGTGGGGACTTTATGTGCCTGTGAGCTGTCTCTAGCTGCCTCTTGCCCATGGGGTTGGTGCAGCAGCAGCTGTATGTCCCATTCCTGCCCATCTACACCTCACTGCACCATATGGCATGCTGAGTGACTGGCACTCAGATTCATCAGCACACTCACTCCTCAGTGTGCACACCCAAACCTAACACTTGTAATTGGCTCTTGTTGGGTGCAGGCGCCTGTTGAGTTGCAAAGATCTAAATTGTGCCCCCTGGTGGTACCATGTTAGTGAAGCTTTTGATTTGCTTTGATACATTATTTTGAAGTGTGCTACCACATGAGATTGTCTAGGATGGCAATCATTACTGTAACAGGAGCTTATTTTGTGCCCATGACAGTAGTTCATGCTAGAATTTCCCAAAATGTACATCGGGAAGTCCTAAGCAGAGTAGTTAGGGCTTGAAAAGAAAAATATTTTGTCAGAGGAAATGACAGCTCTAATATAAAATGTACTACTTAGGTTTGATTGGATGTGGTATAGTGTTATAGTGCATTCATATTTAAATAAATCATTTTATTTAAACTTAGATTATTTAATAAGTGTGTATATATTTGGGATTATGTAAGCCTGCAAGTTTAGCATCTTAAGAAACTAGGTATTTCACTGTGTGCTATATTAAACTGACTTTTCTTATTCCAATGGTCTGTAGCTCAATTTAAACTGAATATATCAATTCCAATGTATGTGTTCCAGTTTCTTTCTCCAAAGTTCATTTGAGTTTCATTGATAACTGGGCTTTATCATAGTAAAGCAATAAACTTCATTTGTCTATAGCTTAATAGATTTAATAGTATTTTGTTCTTTTGAGGTTCATTTATGTAGATCTGCCATCAAATGGGAGTCTGATGTTTTGAAAATCACAATTAATAGTTTAAATCTGCAAGATGATGCATTAGCCTAAAGTTAACTTTCCTTCACTATAAATCCAGGAAGAAGAATATCCACCTCGGGATGACTTCAGTGATGCAGATCAACTTAGAGTTGGCAATGATGGCATCTTCATGTTGGCATTTTTCAGTAAGTTATTTTTACATCCCAGATATTTGACGTGTATAGTTTAGATTTCCATTGGAACAGCGGAATATGAAAGATAGCCATAGTAAACTGCATGAACACACTGTAACAAATGGAATCTTTTTACTTATATACAGATGTAAAACAGTACCTGTTACTCAGAAAAAGCAAGTATGTTGTGTTTTTTCAGTCACTTCTGAGAATGGTGTTAAAACTAACTTACACCTGTCACAGGTCTGAACAAATCCTCAGTTAATAGCCTCAGGAATATCAAGATTATACGGTGGACTGCATCATAAAGTTCTAACAGCTGCAGAACTGCTAACTTGAATTAAAAAATCTGGATGCCAGAAATGTGATTGATTACTCTTCTACCTGAAAGTCTACCCGTAATACACGTATATGCGCGGCTTACAGACTAAATAGCTATGGAGGGATTTGTTCAGACCTACATAGTATTAATTCTTTTCAGTTGAACAAACTTAGGTATGTAAAATATAACTTTAAATTATGATCAGTTTAATAATGTAAAGCACTGTCTCCAGATAATCTTTGGATTGCCACCAACACTGCCTTAGCACTTACATTCACTGAAACTGTGTGCTGTGCACCATTTCTTTTCTAACAGATATACAGTAAAAGCTTTATCTGGCATGTTAGGGGAATCGGGGGGGGGGGGGGCGGGCAGTGCTGGTAAGTGGAAAAATTCTGGTTAACTAAGAGGGAAGGAGTTTGGATGTGGGAGGGGATGCGGGAGGGGGTGCCGGATCCAGGCAGTACTCACCTTGGACAGCTCCGCGTAAGCGGCTACCTGTCCCTGCTGCTCCTAGGCGAAGGCATGGCTAGGCAACTGCCTCTGCCCGCAGGTGCCACCTCCCAGCCAACGCTTGGGTTTAAAACACCAACAGGGAAGAAGGAAATGATTTAAAGTTCTGCAAGTGGTTATGTTAAAGAGAAATGGGATGAAATAATGAAAGGGGTACTTCAGCATGGAAATAAAAACTACACACTTTCCAGAGGGTGAGATCGGTAAGAGTTTGGAGAATTGTCCCCATTCCTTGGGGTATGTAAAACTAGATAATTCTGACCTATTCCCTACAGTACATTTTCTTGTGGTTTGCCCTAAGAGAGACATAACTCATTTTCTGTTGCTATGTCTACACTGCACATTACTGGCAGTGGTGTGTAAGGTATGTTTTGGTACACACCACAGTGAAAAGCAGGTAGTGTTCGCGCTGCACTGTGTAGCTACATGCTTCTGTGAAAGGCACTGGTGAGGAGAGGCAGCAAGGAAAGGCTCAGCAGTGGGGAGCTGTTTGAGCACTGGGGAAACTACACTGCTAAAAATAGTTGATGTGGAGACACTGCTTGAGCGAGTAGGGTTCAGATGTGTCCTTACTCTATTTGCCTAAGCATTGCCTTACCATCTGCACTGCTATTGGTAGGGTTCGTGTAGTGCATGTGCTGTACATGCCGCTGAAAGGAGTGTGCGGTGTAGACACACCCTATGATTGCCTGACTAGCTTCCAGCTTTACATTGTGATTTTTGAAACCAAAGATCCCCTAAAACCAGATTTGCCGCTTTTAGTTTTAATTGTGTAAATCAGCAAAGGGGTCATTCATTATCTAAACTTGTTTTAGCTCAACTGAAAGAGAATCAGACAAACTTCTACTGTCCAGCTGGTGTTCAGAATCCGTTTATGATCTGTAGCTACCATCTAGTGGTAAAACTCTAAATTGCATTGAAAGTCATGTTTTTAAGCCATCTAGTGGCCATGTCTGTATTTTACAAACGGGAGGGGAAACCTCAGTGCTGGTACATTTAATTAAAAAAAAAAATCCTATAATCTAGAGTTCTATATAAGCAAATATGTTTCCTTATAGAAATATAAGTATAGCATGTGCTGGAAGTGGTACATTGTAGGAGTAAAATAGTGATTCATATCGATTAAAAACAGCAGAATGAATAGTAAATACATCTTTAGTAGAAGCTATTGCTGACATTAGCTGCCTTCACGTCATGTAAAAAATGAGACATGGGAGTTCAGTAGCATCTTATTTTTATGCTGTAAAATATTTGTTTCAGAAGCATTATAGCTGAACAGCAAATCTGGACATAAATTAAATGATTAAAACTAAAAATATTGAACATAATTTATTTTTTCTTCATCCAAAATATATAGCAAAACTGTATGTGTCTTTAGCTGAGCCCTCTTCAGGATCACATCTTAATGTAGACTGATTACGCGTTGAATTCCACATTCAAAGAGATTATCCAAAAATCAGATAGTATAAGGATAGAAATGAATAAATATGAGAGAGAGCCAGGTTTAGTAATGTTGAAGAACATGGCAGTAGTTTAGAACAATAAATTAATCCATCAGAGCAGATTATGCCAATTTTCTACCAATATTTGGACATAGTTGTAAAGGGAAATGCTGAGGTTAAGGAGTATAAACGAATAACAAGAAAAAAGTGCCATGCAATGAGGCTTTATGGCACATGGTAGAAATTGTGAGGATGCCAAGAGAGAGATTCCTAATTGTTCTTAGGTGTGTATTTCTGGTATCTTAAAGCTTAAGAAGAGTGGCTAGTTCTTGTTCGAGTAGTGTCCCTGTGGGTGCTCCACTTGAGGTGCACATGCACCTCATGTGCCTTCGATCAGAGTTTTTTGGCAGCAGTACTCGTTCGGTCTGCCCATGCACCCCAGGCATCCTCTTGCCCTGTACTGAGGGTATTTAGAACTGCGACAGCTGAACTGCCTTGAGTTCCTTCTCAACCATGCTGGCCAAAGATGGAATGTGCATAGTACTCAATACTTGTTATTAATATTTTCTTTTTATAATAGCTTTTCTCTTAGTTAGTGTGGTGTTTCTTTTTGGGGGTCTTTTTTCCATTGGTTGAGGCTTTTGCCTCCTACCTTCATGCCCCCTTGTTTGAAGAAATCTGTATTTATTTTTGGGGCATGCCTAAGTCCCCAGGTTTCTAACATTGCCTCACTTGCTGGGAGTCCTTCCCAGTTAGCGATGGCAACTTGCACTGTCTTCTGTCTTCAGAGATTCACACCTGCTTTCAAAGTGCAAAATCTGCATTAGTTTTAAGAGCTGCTCCAGGAGGGGCAGGGAGATTAACTTCATCTCCTTATGATGAGACGTTCCTTTTGTCCAGTGTCCAATCCAGCCCTGGAGACCACATCCCCCACCCCACCCAGTACAGTGGTTTCCAAGCAACCATTGTTCCCCATCAGTCTCTGGGAGACCTACAAATGACATGGGGAAAGACTTCTCCCTAGAGGAGTACTGAATCTTCTCAAAGAGCATACCTCTGAGATGCATTGTAACAAAGACCCCATGCCCCTCAAAGGCTTCCACAGAAGCTTCAAGTACTCTTGGTACCAAGAGCTCTAAATCAAAGTCCTCAAGCACATCTAAATTCCACAGTACCAACTGAAGACTTCGGTACCATAGAAACATGACTCTGCTGATAGAGATTCCAGGGACTTCACATAGAAGAAGTTGGCACCTCCGGCATCTTTGACTGCATCTTTGGTACCGCAGCAGACATTCAAGCAGGCATTGGTGCCTCCAATACCTTCCTCGGTGCTGGAGGCCTCCACATGTGCAGCCCACCAGGTTCCCACACAACTGTACCCAGTGCTGCAGGAGTTCAGGTTTTCCAGGGATTTGCTTGTCTTCAATGAACTTGTCTCCTTTATTGATCTCAATCAGGCCCCAGTACTGCAACCTCCACTATCTCCAGTACCTCATATATGACTGGTACTACCTGATTCCCCAATACCCATGCATACGGAGAGACAAACCATCATTCCTCCTTTGTTTGTGCCTCCATGAGACTGTGTGGATGAGAGCTCTTCAGACTCTCAGATTTTGTTCAGGGCTCTTAAGATTCCTGCCTAGACCACGGTCTCCTGAATTTGCTTAATTGAGGGGTACTTGTAAGTTTGGGAGACCTCTATGTGCTCAGCACCCTCTTTGGTACAATTAGTCCTGGATACCTTTCCTGTTCCATTGTTGTCCCTCCCTGGCCATATTAGGACCCTTGGGCTTTTATCACCAACAGTTCTCCAGGGTTGCAGGGAATGCCAGTGTCAGCACTCAATCAGTTCCCTCCGTTCCTCCACAACAATCTACACCATTGGTGGAGAAGGTTGAGGATCAAGAAAAGAGAGCTGATAAAGAGGCAACCCCAGAGACTATTATTTCATCATCCTCCCGAGATGAAGTTGTTATGCCTTCTCTGTTCCATAGATGACTTGAAATAATTTCAGGAGTTGATACAAAGAGTAGCAGATGCTCTTCATATCCCATTAGAAGGATTACAGGAAACCAGCACAAATTGCTGGATGTTCTTCACACACCATCTTCAACACAAGTAGTCCTTCCGGTAAACCAAGTTTTGTTAGATCCCGCCAAGACAATTTGGCAGACCCCCCCCGCTACTGGCTCCCTGAACAGCTGAGAGAGCAGACACAGTACTACATTATGGCTAGTGGTTCAGACTATTTTCCCATTCTGCACCAAACTCCTTAGGTGTGGATTCAGAAATGAATCCACAGTCCCAAATGATAAAGACCAAAAGTGCAAAGACTTTGGTTGCAAAAGTTAGTTGTCTGCCACCCTGCAATGCAAAATTGCTAATTGCCAGATGATTTTGACAAAACATAATGACATTAACTATTCAAAATTTAATTCCCTATTGAACATCTTCTGCAAGAGCTGAGGGAACATCTTCAGGCTCTCATCACAGAGGGAAAACTTCTTGCAAGGACATCTTTGGGAACTTCTCTTGATTCTTCCACACAGCAGCAGCCCACTCTATCTTCACAGCTGTAGTTCTGTGTCCAGTGTTGTGGAAATCCCGAAGACGGCAGCCACATGAAGTCCAGAACACTCTAGAGGACCTCCCCCATGGTGGTCTTAACTTAGTCAAGTCTGCAATGATTTCCTGCATTTGTTGAAGGAGTATAGGGCCACCCTTTGGTTGTTGGGTGTATATAGGCCTGTAAACAGGGAGATTTAGTTTGATTTCAGACAGCTCAGTTTCCCATCTCTACCATAGGGTGCTGGAGCCACCTAAAAAGAAATCCAGAATGGAGAGGTGAAAGTTCTTGATCATTCCACCTGAATTGATGCAGTAGCCTTCATCT